AAATGAAAATAAAACCAAATCTGTGTTCAACTTATTTATTATTGGCATAAGCATGTTAATATAAATTGAAGAATCGTTTTAAATTAAATAATAAAAAGTAAATATGTGATTTTATTATATATTTCGTTTATTTTACTTCTTCGATAGTTTATTGTGTAATAGCCCTTAAGACTCTTTGTAAAATAGTACTAAGTCTTTAATAATAAATATTTAAAATTCTATGATAAAAGTTAATTTATAAAATGTTTTATTAACTAAATAAGTATACTTATTATATATATTGTATTATAAAATTGAAAATAGATATATTATATAAAACATATTTAATTTTATCATTAATAACGATTGTAGATCACCAACATTTTTCAAACGTATTGGACTATACACTCAGAAATAGGTCACACATGGTTCTATTACTAAACTAATTTTTTTTTAATTTTAGCTGAAACAAAATGAAGAGGGAACATTAGCGGAATCTGAAGAATGTCCACTACTACACCATCTTAGTTTAAGTTATTATGTGTTTTTCAGTCACCTATTTTTACAGTTGACAAATTAACTAATGTTACATTTATTGACTGTGTTATTTGTTCATATTATGTATAGTAGTTAGTGTTAATATATTAAGTTATAGAGTAAAATAGAAATAGAATTACAATTAGCTGAATATTTTTTTTACAACATTTTTTGGGAATTATTCTAGAAAATAATTCAAATTATATTTTAGTATGTCCGTATTTGTTCCATTATTTAATTTATATAATGGTGTTTATCAAAATAGTCTATTAATAATATAACGAGTTCACAGACACCTCACTTTTTTTTATTATTCATGTACCTCAGAAAATCACTTTTTTATTACTGCCATAGCATTATGTTAGGAATAATATTATTATGTGCCCAAATGTATGAGTATACATAATGAGTCAGTCTTATCTCTAGACTCGTCTATACCATTAAAAATAGTTCTGCGTGAGCAGTAATGCCCAATTTCATTGTTTTTGTAAAGTACTGCTATTGCAAAAGTGATTTATTTCATCAGAATTGGAAAAAATTAAAATTACTGCTCTAAGAGTAACCGACCTTGAACGTATTAAATAAAATAACTATACATTAAACTCACAGATGAATTTAAACTGTAATAACTGAAAACTTGAACTGTACAAAATATTGAATAACACTACTTAATAACTTTAATTTAATTTTATAAATAAATATTAAATTAAAATATAGTTCTCAAAAATATGAATTCCTAAATAATAATGAAACTATGTTTGTAAATATTCTGAATTCTGTCTAATTACTTAATCATTATATTTACTATTTACTATATAGCAAGTAAAATTTAAACCTTGTATCAGTTAAGTGTTTTAATAAATACAAATTTTTAAAAAGGATAAGATAATAATACATAGTTATTTCTTAATACACTAAAATAACTTAGCTATTCAAAGACATTTTTTGTATTAAAAACTAAGAGTAATAGCAGCCATTGACCATAAAGAAAAAAAATTGCTTTTTATTTAATTAAGTATGTTAATTACTGGTATTAGAGTAATAAGTTCTCATAATAAAAACATATTTAGATAAACCTAAATAATTTTAGTTAGTAAGAAGTAAAAACATAGGTGTGTGCACATAATATGCAATACAGTATCAAGGAAGACACTTTTTTTAGATGACATGTGAGCATATGACTAGACCCAAAGAAATTAAAAAGTAAAATTTTGTGTCAAGAATCTTGAAATTACATATTTTTCAATAAATGTGTCTTTATATTTGTATTTTTTTAAATAAAAATAAATACAAATGTTAAAAACCCTTATATTTTTTTTAATAAGAAGCAGTAATAATAATAGTGGTTGTCATGAGTATTTTTATGACAATAGTATGAGAATTTATTTAGGGGCATTTATATTTTTGGGGAACACATTTTATTAACCGTGACCTTTGACCTTGTGACTAAACTCTGCTCATGTCTACGGATAATTATCCAATATACTAAATTAGAATAGGTTATAATAAAAAAAAGTTTTCCAAAAAATTAATAATTATTACTATACATTAAAGTATTTTTGTATGGCTTAAGATATAAATACATTTTAAAGTCTTTAACTTTGTAATTCTATACTTCATCTGGCTATGTGAACATGATGTTACAAGAAACAAGTTAACAGGAAGTAACATATGGGTCTACAATAATGTTTCACTGTTAAGTTTATGTGTTGAGAACCTAGGTAATAATAAAATGGCTTACACATCATAGTTAATAAACCCAATTATTTATCATTATTTTTTTCTAAATTACATGAATAATATGTACCACAATAAATTCATATGATTAAAATATTAAAATAGTAATGGTATCTATTTCACCATAATTATTGAGTGTTAGACACAAGTGATTTTATATTTAAAAACAATGATAATATAACACTACGTTTTGAACAAAAAAAAAAACAATTTTGAAGAAAATATAGTTTATCCAAGATTTTTTAAAGCAATTTTTAATATTTTTTCAATTTTTGATTTATCAATCAGCCTACAACCTACTTGTTGAGTTTCTTTAATGTACTTTTTATTATGTTCATGGATTCAACAATAATTTCTAAGTTTGTTTTTTTTTGTTTCTAAACATAAGTTTAAAACACATAAAATATCCGATGTGTCCATCTGTTAGTTAAGATATATAATAAAGTATACTGTAACTATTGTTGGTATTAAAATTTGTATGATTATGTGTAGTTGCTGTGCAGTGTACATAGTTACGATTGTTTATATTAAGATTTTATTACAGTACTATTTTAAATAAATTCATGGTAGCCACCATTAAAAAATATAATAAGTATCTAGGTAGATATTTGATAAAGATTCATACTAGCCAATTTTAAAAAAATATGTTAGAAAATTCTTTATTGTATACATCAATATAGTTTATTGTTGTGTTTTATTAAAATATACTTAGAAACTAGAAATTTAGCACATGGCTTTCCTAACTGACTATACTTCTCATCCAAATTGCACATGATGAGGGATCAGGGATAACAGCTTTAAGTCTTCAGATAATTCTGGCTACTTTCCAGACAAACGCCTGTCTGCAAAGTCCGTTGATGCAGATAATTTTGTTATAATATGCACAATTTAGAATAATTATAATTATAATCTCAAATCGTAGTTATATGTGGCCAAGGTTTTATTAGGATTTAGGTGTACTTATAATTTATAAACCTTAGTTGGTAGTATACTAGTATATTATTATACATACAATTTGCAATCGTGCAATTACAATCATTTATAAATACAAAATAATACATGTATATAGTGAATTATTATGAAATGCATTGCTTGCTTCCACAGTTCTACAAAATTCAGCGGTCTTTTCCATAGTAAGGTTGGATTCTTTCAACAGTTGTTCCTGCTGTTAGTAAATCATTATTTTTTCCCTTAAATTCACAATACTATACTGTAACTCAACTATGCATTCCTCATTGCTTTTTCCTGGTTTTTATTTTCAAAATTGTCCACTGCCCACTTCTTTGACTATAGTTCCTCACAAATTGAATATTTAGTATATTCAATTCCTTGATCACCCATTAGATTTACTACTTATCACTAATTATTGGGTTGAGAGTTTTGTATGTCTCTACTTGCTAGTAGCGTGTAGGTACATATGCATTGTGCCAGTTACATCTTTGTATCCATTATTTCCAAACAACAGCTAAATTGTTTGAAAATTTGATTTCTTTTAGAGGTTTAAAGGACCTTACACTATTTGGCTTTTTTTCAGGTGGAGTAATTGTGATACATGACGTACTTAGGCTCAAGATACAAGAGTATACACTGCATACTTTATAGTGCTACTACTGCTACTTATTAATTACCTGGCCCTGTATGTACTGTATGTAATGCTCAATAGGGGAAAGTAGTTCAAGCAGTTCATATCATACTAGTTTTACTTAGTATTTTAGAGGACTGTAGACACCTTATTGTTAACATATTTATGCATTATACATTTATACATTTTTCACATTTGTCACATTATAATTTATTGTAATTCAATAAACAAACAAATTACAACACAAGGAAAAAGGGTATTCGACAATAATTTTTATTGATATAATTTACATCTTAACATCAATATACTTGACCACTAAATATCTTAATAGGTACCTTAATTTTAAAATCAAATTAATTAACTTACCCATTCTCCCCTATTGTATTTAATTAGATATATACTTATCAGCTATATATATATATATATTAATATTAATTAATAAACACAAGGCTTAATCTAATAGGTTTAGTTTTCTTATAAAATGTAGGGTACCTACCTAGTCAATTAATTATATAATATAATAATATTAAGTGTTGGACAAAAACTAAGATTTACTGATTTAAGTTCGAATATATTAATTTAAAGACAATAGAGTTTTTAATGTTATTTATAAAATAGTGTTATAACTCATAAGCACCATATTATGTCAATGTTATAACACTGGGTGTCTTCCTATGCAAACTTTAGAAATTTAGATAATAGGTGACTATTATAGGTAGGCAGGTACTCTATATAAATAAGGTTTACTAAATAGAATATAGGTAATATATATTATAATAATATAGTAAAGGTATATTAGTATTATAAGGTATATTTCTATTGTTACAAATTAGTTAGTCTACATACCTACCTACATCTTAACTTCAAACTTGATGTCTTGACCGTTGCCCCAAACAGGTATTACCTTTGAAAAATAGTCTACAATGTATGCAGGTACCTACTTATATCAGATATATTTGTAATTTGTATATATATACCTACAGGGCCTACATACCATAATTTTGGTGGTTTTATTCTAAATATTAAACAATTTATAAGATAGAATGAAATATACATATTATCCTTAGGTACTAACAAATTTACTATTTAAATAATTTAAATATTGTATATATTTTCTTCTATAGATAATAAATAAATGACAATACTGAAGATGTTAAATGTTATACTATTTAAATGCAAACTCTTTTAATCTATTGTCAATAATATAACGACAATATTGAATGTTTAAAAATTATTAATAATTAAAACACTGTGTGTCTGTGTATAGAAACTTAACCCATATAAATTATAAATATTTTAATGATTTTAATAATCTTGAAATAAATAATATAAATACAAATGTATTTTAATATAATGAACTTTTTTTATTCTTCTTCGGACTCTTCTTCCTCTTCTGATTCGTCTTCCTCCTCAGACGATTCTTGTCCTTCAGCTTGTGCAGCATCTAGATGCTCTGTGTCATGTTCGTCTTCACCACTGTCACCGTTTTCTTCAACTATCTCTTGTATTTCAACCTTTGAATTAATATCATCATCGTTTTCAGATACAACAGAAGTACTACTTGTTATGGTAGTTGTTTTTTTGATTGTTCGTTGAAATACTGCTGTAGTTTTAACTCCACCTTCATCTTCGTTAATTATTTCAGTGGAGGTGGTCGTAGTTGACGATTTTGCAATGGCAGCATCATTAGTTTCTTGGGATTCTGAGCTTATATCTATAGTTTTTTCAGACAATTTTATTTTTTGTTCAGATTGATCGATTTCTTCTTCTGTCGTAGTTTCATTGACTAATTGTTGAGTTTCTTCAGCTTCTTCGACTTTCTGGTCTAATGCTGATCGAGCTGCTTCTTCTTCAGCTGCTAGTCGAGCTGCTTCTTTTTCAGCTGCTAGTCGAGCTGCTTCTTCTTCAGCTGCTAGTCGAGCTTTTTCTTCTTCAGCAGCCAAATGAGCGGCTTCCTCTTCAGCTGCTAGTCGAGTTGCCTCCTCTTTAGCCGCTTTCTCTTCAGCTGCTTCTTCTTCAGCCGCTAACCGAGCTGCTTCTTTTGCTGCTAATCTAGTAGCGTCCTTTTTAGCTGCTTCCTCTTCAGCATGTAATTGAGCTGCTTTCTTCTCAGCTGTTTCTTTTTCCAAACCTAATTGAGTTGCTTTCTTGTCAGCTGCTAAATTCTTATCAAAATTATTTTTACTATCATCTTCTAACTTTTTTTTCGGACAATATTTCGGACTTTCTGTATTATTTATTTTAACCGTTGGATTTGTTGAGGATGCCGCCACAGCTTCTCTCGTTTTATTGTAATAAGACAACATAGTGATATTGTCGTCAACTTCTTTTGACAAATGTGGCCTTCTTCTTGGGTACGCCTTGCCACCAGCATATGACACACAAGCCAAGTGTCCTTTACCTTTAAAAATATAAATGCTATTAATATTGTACACCTTATAAATAACAATGGTAATTATTATTATTATATTATACCAATATTGTTTTCTCGGCGATAAGAATCTGAGTCAGAAAGGATCTTTTCGATATAAGCATCAGACTCTATACGTTGTGATACAGGTAATTCACTATATCCATTAGACACAGACGATATTTTAGGTCTGATTGAAGGAGTATATACTTGTTTAAGCAATCCAGCGGTTTGAGCCCGGATATCTCTCGTAACATCATCAAAGTTCTAAAACCATCAAAGTAATAGTATTAATAAAAAAAATAAATGTTACGATTTATTATTAATCAATTTAATTAATGCTCACTGTAGAACTCCTGGAGTTTAGATACTCATCAGTGGCGTCGTATGATGGATGAGATCGTGGACGATGTTCTATCCTATCTAAAACACCATGAATTGTAGCTGCTGATCTTCTGTGTAATGGTACGTAATGATGGTGATTATAAGGATAACCATTGTAAGGTAAAACTTTCGTAGATGGTTTCCCAGTTGATATCGACGGTGTCAAAATAAATGGAGTGGGCGTAGTGCTCGTCTGATATACTTGATGCGCCTGATTAGTGATTAGAATATTAATTTATTATATAATAACTAATAACATTGCTTACGAAAAGTTTTATTTTTTTTGTATACAAAGTGTGTATTTTGTTTTGAAAACTCACTGAAATATAACTTAAAAAGTAAAGTGCTTAGAAATATTACCTATTTAAATAGGTTCAACTAGCGAGTCTAGTTCAAAATATACTGTACTATAATAATATAGAAGTCAAAAAAACCTATCTAATAGATCTAAAATCCATGGTTAAAAAACCAACGAATAAGACAAGAAAATCCGAATATAAAATGAAATTGAATTATTTGATTGTATGATTGTAAAATGCCATAATGTATTATAATTTAAGTTATAAATAATAATACAATAAACATTATTTGGGTATGAATTAAGTACATAAAACAATTTTAACCATGGCTAAACGATGGTTACAATATCAATACCTACTGGCTACCACTTTTCTAAATCGATACTGTTAGGTAATAATATCATTCTGTTGAATTAAAACGTTGATAAAATTATCGGCTTGAACTGATTTATTATGTAGGTATACTGTTTAGTACGATAAAGATTCAAATAGTCAAATATGATACTCTTAATACCTATGAGCAAAGATTTTCATTCCTCGTAGAAATGTTTTAAATACCTACTTATACAGTTACATAATTATACCTAGTAAAATTGTATTTATTTTATTTTATGAAAAATAATAAGCGACATATTATTTTCTATATTTATAGGTATACAACAATTTATACAGGACACTCATAACAAATTAAATACATATTTTTTAAATGTGATTTACCTAAATTAGTAATTCATTTTTATTTTTAAATTATAAAAATTGTTTCCTAATATTAATATTTTTTTATTTTTTAAACAGGATACTTTATTTTATTTTTTAATTTTATTTGTTTATTATTTGTGGGCTTATATAATCCTAAAATTGTTTGCATTGGATATTTATTGCTGATTGTTCCTAACACAACTAAATAAACATATTAACTAAGCTGTTTTTTTGCAAATCTGTGAAAAGTATAGACTTTGATTTTTTGTAAATTGCATTCATATATTTTAACTAAAGGTAAAACAATAATTTAACTTAAAGTTATTATTTAATATTAGTTATTAACTATTTGGTATTTTATTTCTATAAAATAAAAAAGCTAAGTAGTATGAGAAAATATTAAAAATATTGCATTACCGTATAAATTATTTAATTACCTATAAGTTAAAAAAGAAAACACACCAATGGTGGGTACTTCGTGATTATTAGTATGTGTTCATCTGGCACGACATCAAATATGCTGCAGTAACGCTGTCTACGGAATCACACTAAACACCATATTTTCATCTACATGCATGTTTTAAAATAACACTCGCGAGTCGTGTGTCGCGACTTTAATGGTAAACTACGAGTAAATTGGTACCTACTAAACTATACAGTAGGTACCTACTACCTACCTAACTATGTCAGTATATAGTTGTTTCTTAAAATTAAAAATATCTTTGTTTTATTGTTTTTTGTTTTTGTTTATAGTATATTTGAATACTGTTGATTGATTATCAAAGGTACTTCAATATGGTATAAGCCGAATAGACCATAAGATAAGTTGGTATTATAAGAATAATATAGATTTATGAAATACATATCCACTAATATATTATATAATTTTATACACGCAAACGTTGTAGTAATAAGTATTGTAATACTTCGAAAATTGTACCTATAGTTTTAAAATTAGCGATTTGTCAAATTTATGAAATTTAGTTAGGTACATATAAGTATATTCTTACATTTCACTACCTACTTTAGATGTAACATAGAACAATAGGTACATCAATAATACTCAATATATATTAGTAACTACCTATATAAATATATAATATAATATAGTATACAATAGGTATATTCTTTTACAGTTATACATAAACATAATACATGAAATATGAATACATATAAAATATTATTATGTATTATATATTTACATATGAGTGATTATTTACCAAATTCTTATTGAAATTTCATAAATCATAAGTAAATTATTTTATCCTACTTATATATTACAAAAAATACACTTAAAACAGTATTAAATTAACTCAAATCTGAGGATATTTAATTTTTTAAATGACAACATAGTTCATACAGCACCAACATGTTTAAATTTAAAACTGCAGGATGTATATATTTTTATAAATTATAAATTTTAAAACCTACATATATTGAATAATCAACCAACAGTAATTACTATTCATAAAAAGTAACCTAACTGAAAGAAGGGGACAGACATAATGTTAAAAATATCCGAAAAACTACTAAAAAAAAATAGAAAAATATAACTAAATTGATTATTATTATTTTATATATATATTATATATTTTTAAATAATTTTCATGAATTTCTAAGAATAGGATTATATATAATATAATAGAAGCAGTTTTCAATAGGATGCCGGATGCCCAGACATTATAATCGTTAAAAAGTAGACTGTAACCTGACACTTTATAATGTCATATTAATAGAATTTGCCGGCTATAATTAATACAACTCATTACATCAAATATCAATAAACAACAAAAATCTTAGCCATGTACTTCTTTAGGATTTAAAATATTAGTTACACAAACAAAAAACATAATATGTTACCATTGGGTGGCTATTTTTCGCGTACCTATTAAACTATAAACTACCACATACTTATAATACATATTGGCTGTAAAAAATAAATATTAAAAATACAATTTTCTCTCTCCCTTCTATTGCTTCTTCAAAATGTGTGTACGCAGTACGCTAAATGCTAATAATTACCTAATTTAATTATGTTATTTTTAAATCTCAATTCTTTTCCATCCGCAAGATACGTACGAGTTTATAACTTAAGTTTAGATTTCCACTGCAAGCAAATTATAATTTTTTCCCATTGAACCAGAATAACAAATATGGATATTGCATATTATGTTTATTATACTTGTATTATATTATAATACGTATACTAAATTTCTGATAGTAGAAGACCGAAGTATAGTATAGTATTGACTACTGGGTCTTGAGTGTGGACTTAAGTGTTATATTATTTTAAAAGAAATACGCATTATTTTTACCTTTATTTGCTAGCTGGTTAATTATGTATTTATATAAATAATCAATTATATAAGTGCTGGAGACCTGGAGTGTTTCACTTAGTTCTGCTTAGGTAATTTTTTTCGATACTTCAATACGTGCTTACATTTAAAAAAATATTATTGCATGGAAATTGACGCATCACCATATTATAAATTATTGGTGACGGGACAGTTTGAGTATAGTTGCAGTGAGACAGTAATAAACATTCGGTATAGTCATTATTTATTGAAATCGAAATCGAAATCTAACAGGGAGAAAATGTATAAAGAAGAACTAAATTTCTACCGGATATTATATCTTAGTTGACAATTAGGCTATGAAAAAAAATATAATAGAGGTTTATATTATTATATCCAGGAACAGTTAACTAGTAAGTACTGGACTAATTAGGTAATAGGCACCTAACTATATCCACTAGGTATCATACAAATATTTAATAGTTAAGGATGTTGTATTATATTTTGTGAATGCATATAATATTAGACAATTAATAATTACCTTATAGTAAGTAGGTGGCAAATCATAGCCATCGGACGAATACAGTGGCTGTAATCAAGTATAAATAATATTCATTTGTAGGAAAAAAGTTGAAAATAAAATAATATTGACACATAACGAGATATTTTTTTCAATAAATAATATTTATTTTTAACAATAACAACAACAACAACGATAACGACAATATCGAAATAAATTATATAATATTATTATATTTTTAAAAATTAATTTAGTAGTAATAGCAGTAGTAGTTTTTGTAACGTGCTTGTTATATGTAATATGTTTCGTGTGTCGATATTAAAATTAACTAACTGTATAAAATAAACTATATTAGGTTCTATATACCAGTTATAAGTTATTAATTTAATATATAATAGTTTATTATTAAAAATGCGTGCGTGCGTATTGTGTAAATATTGTTATATTAAACCGCAGTTTTTTTCATAATATATATATATTTTCAATTAGTATTTATACGTGTACATATACATATATATAATATGATTGCATGTAGGTATAACAACACCTAATAACATTATTATAGGGGTAATATAATAATATTATGTTTTTCGATTCTTGGCTCCCAGTCAATTAATTAGACGCGGTAAGAGTAGTGACGGTAGGTGGGAGTGCCTCCGGGCAAGCGACCACTGGTGGTTGTTGAATAAGACGAATGGTAACCTCCTGGACGACCATCAGACGAGGAACTTGTACGGGTTACCTTCTCTGTTGTGTAGCTTGAGCCCGGGCGTCCTGAGGACTCGACGCGTTGCTCAGTGTGGTATTCATATTGTCTTCTTGTTTCAATCGGCGCAGGTGTGCTGTACGACGAGCTCACAGAGTATCTGCTGGGCGTCTATATACATATAAAACACAACGCGCACGTCACGCATTTCTTTATACTGTCTTTTTAAATAATTGTTTCTAATATCTAATATAAAACATCCCGATATTCGTAGACAATAAGTATAACAAATTGAAAATTGAAAAAAATCTCCGGTATCTTGGTACCATGTTATACAAAATTGTCTTTAACGAGTGTAACGATCCTGTCACAATACTACCGTCTGTAAATCTAATATAATATAGTTATGTCTATAATTCCTCTACAACGCCGGATAATAGTAATATTATGTTTTGCTGTATATATTGTGTATGTAGGTATGTACATAAGTATGTATGTATGTATGTATATTGTATGTATGTATGTATGTATGTATGTATGTATGTATGTATGTATGTATGTATGTATGTATGTATGTAATATTACCAACACCTTTTACCAATGTATAATTAATTATTATTATATAAATGTAATTATTAAAATGATATTATTATTGCGGTAAATGTATACATATAGAAGTTGACACGACTGCTGAACGAGTGAAAATCGTAAATGTTATTGTTATTTGTTTATCAGTCGAGGAACGGCATAATAAACATTGTTTGGCAGTTCATCGTCTGTTCAAAATTCTAATATCGGTAAAGCGTCGGAGGCAACGAGCTGAACAGTATCCGCCGCCGAGTGTGCCCCTCGTGCCCTTCAGTATCCACCCGGTAATGGTTCAGGCGGTTCTTGGAAGGTATCGTTTCGGTTTCGTGCAAGTGTCTGCGAGCTAGTGCGGACTTAATCAACGCTTTCGTTTCCGTTTCTACGTCTGTTTCGTTGCCGGCCCCGAGGAACTCCCGTTGCAATTGGTTTACTTCGCCTCTTCTCCCGAACACTAGATAAGGCAACGGGACCTGACTGGGACGGGGGACATTGGGGACCTTGTGCCACGGGACACGAACCGTGTTTCTGGTAAACGCGGCCGGTTTGGGTTGCCCGTGTTCTTGGTGACGCTCTGACTATAACACACACACCCACACACACACACACTGATAAGTACATCTATACCTATATGTATTATTTATTATGCAAAAAACGGGAATTTAATCGGTATAGGTATCTAAGTTATGACTAAAATGTGCGTGTGTATATGTTGGTTACAGTAACGACCGGTATAATATTTTAGTGATACATCAATTTATGAATAAATTACAATAATTATTATAATCCATGGGTCATGAGTACACAATATAAGCTTAATTTAAAAATAATTTGTAACACATTATGTAACTTACTTATAGATATTTTATAAATCTGTATAATTTGTAACACTTAAGAAGTTAACAGCTACTAGTATTTTTACAACATCGACATTGTGCCTACTTAATAGTTATAGGTAATATTATGCCATAATATAACAAATTATTATTTAAAACAATAAAAAATATATAATAATAATTATAATATAAGTACAAATCTTGACTATTATCAAAATATTAAACGAACAATTTAAAGAAAAATCAACTTAAAATTACTAGCCACTAGGTGGGTACTAAATAACACAACTATATCATACAAATAATCGAGTGTATAGGTAATCAATGTATACAATTGTTACTATCAATGCAGTTCAAGAATTTTCATTTTTTATAGAATTCAATGTGTGTCGAATGTATAATAGAGGTAACAATTATTAGAGTCCTAGAGAAAATAAAGTTTATTTATATATTATTTTTTAATAATTCTGTTAACTAATGTATTGGATAATTCTTGTGTGTAAGAAAGAAAGTTTAAAAGAATTTACAAACTTAAATTTAGATTTGTGCTTTAGCGTTATTAATAAATACGGAGCCCCAGAAATGGTCAAGTCGCCAAATATTGGTACGCATAAATTATACACTCGAGAACATTCTATAAAAAATTTATAAAATAAACATAATGTACAAAAATAAGTGTTAAATTATAAATAATTGAAAAAATATACCCATGATTCATGGAAATATGTTGATGGTGCTTGGTGTTGGTAATGACTAATAATTAATAATAAGTAATAAAATTTATTGATGTAAAAAATAATCTATTTTATAACGTCTAACTAATTATTCAATATAACTTATAATGCAATATGGTCGTCATCGTTGTCGAACATACACAAACACACTTAGTATATAACTATTAGTATTTTCTTTCGATGTCGTTAGATCCCTACTTCCACCACAGCCAAATAATGGTGTAATATGTGAGCGGCATATTATACATTCCTCAGTAGTTTATATTTTGAAGTACAAAATATATCAAATAATATATACAATTATTTTTTTTCAATGCGGCTATTAAATATTTTACCCCCCTCGCAAAGAATTCATAGTTTATTAAGCCACTGCATGACTGCTCAGTTTTTTAGTTGATATACATTGTCTGTGATGGAGGTGTTCTTTATGAGCTAGGGAAGTATGTCTTTATTTGTTAATGAAAGTTTCAAGGCGTGCCGTCGTAAGGTTTAGAGAGACCTCCGTGCCAAAATATGTCAAATATGTTCGGATTGCATTCTGGAACTTTTTAGTTTTCACACCACGTTAATTTTACCAATAAAACTATTTATTGTCAAATCATCAAAAATATGACATAAAAGATAATATACGGGGTCCATGTGGCCATTAACAATTATGGGTGGTAAAGACATCGACTTCAGACTTCAGACACCTTAGGACGGCACAGCAGATGACTTAGTAGTCAGAGGGTAATTGTTGATAACTTTAATTTATCATTTACTGACATCATCAAATCGCTTACAGTTACGACACAACTTAACTATTTTTTAATTAATAGTAATTATTAAAAATCAAAAAATGACAAAAACACTTACGGTGACTGAATAAGAACTGGCCGGCTTGTAGTACGCCGGTCTGCGGGAAGTGTAAAAGTCGGAAGAGTAAACCATTTTTGTTTGATTAAAGTGTATTTGACTGATGGAGATTAGCTTCTAAGATAGCCCTGGGTTTTGTGGATTGTGCGAACGGTTCAGCTATTTGTGAATGTCTGAAACCACAGTATTGTAGTCACTAAAATGCTTTAAATAAAATAGCATTATATATAAGCATGTATATGGATAAAGAGGGGATACGATCATCGAGTGGTGTGCACTCGGCGTCCACCGGCGCTGACTAATCGGCCGAAGCGTGACGCCTGTAACAGGATTTATTATTAGAACAGAATATGTAACAGCCGCCGTTGTTTTCTAATACGAATAAGAATAATATTATCAAGGACCGAGGAAATTAGCGAGAGTGCATTGTACATAGATATATATAGCAATTGGCATTTGGCAATGGCAATGATGGATCAATATAAATATATTATTTATAATACAGTATGTATGTACATCATTAACTTATTTATACGTGGGCAGGTATATGCATATTGAATGTTTATATTGTACAATCGTGACAGGCTTAGGTTTTGTGGAGTCCAGGACAAAATAATTTCTAAGGATTTTTTATATCATAAATACATAAACTTTTGTATAAGCGTTCTAATATTTTCATTAGAAATCATTTAATTGTATATCCCACCCATAATTAGTAGAAATTCATGTACCTACTTAGTGTAGTTAATCAAATTGATATTTTATGGTATTCATATACACCATTGATTTTATAAAATAAAATATTACACTTGAATTTTAAATAATTACCAATACTCATCTACAAGCCTATACATTAATAAAGTTGTTTATTATTTTGCAACCATGTTGAAATGTGATCAATTCAAAAGTTTAAAAGCTTTACACACCTGCAGCCTGCAGGATTGCTCAGCGAACGGTGGGGATTCGTGGCTTTGACGATGTAGTATCCCTTACCAAAATTGAGAAATAAATATTTTTTTTATCACTATTTTTTTTTTATGCACTTTAAATAATATTTTTTACTTTGGGTACTAAGAACTAACCGAACATTATCAAAAAATCATTTATTTATAACGAAAATTTGTTTATACGTTAAATGTTTTAAATTCTAAAAAAAATTATTTAGTGCCATATTTTTATTTACATTACTAATACAAATATTTTAACATTACTATAAAAAAGGATAAACTAAACGGTATAATTTTTTGTTCATTTTTAAATGTTATTGTTTCACATGCATTATGTGTTTTACAATAAAGTATAAATAAAGTTACATTTTACAATATTATTCATTATATATTAAGTATTGATGAATGAACAAATTAGTTGTATCATACATTTCTGCACATAATGTTGAAAGAACAACATCTGTTTAACAGAAAGCAAGTTTATTATTATAGCCATTCGTCTTTTGCGCAGTACAACGTATGAAATAAAAATCTAATTTTTAGGTACATTTTTGTGTAAATTGAGCAACATTTAAAAGTATAAAATAAGCTCTGGTGCTGTTCCAGTCTAATGACGTCACACATACACGGAACTAAAATAATATTTTTTCATCACATTTTCACTAAATTGTTTTTAAAAGTCCTGATATTCTGAATACGAAATAGTTGTGTGTCAAATAATAATTTTAAGAAATAAATTTGTATTGTGTGTTTTATGATAATTTATCATCATTGATCATCGTGATATTTTCAATTTTATCACATTTATAAATTTATTTAAATTTATTGTTAACAAGAACAAATAATAGAAACTTTGGTTTTGAACTAGGATTTTTTTTACATTTGAGTAATCATGCTAGTGGGGTGTGGTCCGTAAGGCCCTAAAATGCGCTCGGGGTATAAGACCTATATCAACAATGTCTAATGCTCAAATTCATTTACTTTAGGGTAGTTATAAAATATATTATAAATTTTTATAATTAATTTTATTAATTATATATTTTATGGTATACACTGAACACTGCCCCCTGGAGAGTATATATAATTACCAAAACTATATAGTAACCTCCAAGTATATGATTGTAATTTATAAATAAATCTGCTCAGTACAGCAAGGTTTTCCATACTGTTGTTTTAAGTGGTTAAGTGTAAGAACTAGGTCATCTCAATAATATTTATGTTGTTCGCATCGTATGGCTCGAATAAACAACAATTATCTAAATATATAATTGCCCAAAATATGTTTATATCCAAGAGATGAATATGTATGTCAAGTGTTTGTATAAATATCAATGGCAATTGTTGCAAACATTCGCGAAACCATAAAAAAGTCAACCTTGGGCGAGATAAATAAAAGTTATTTTTATATTTATTTTTCGAAATCCTTAAAATCGGAATCGTTAGTCATTTATTATTAATAAAATATATGCTTATTTATAATTCATAAACCACATTTACATTTTAAAATGTAATGAATATTGAAGATAACATAAATAAGTAGATAGTAAATAATAAATAAAGATGCATAAAAGTTGTTTATTTTATAATTGTTTAGCCTTCTACAAGATAATATTATATAAACTTAGAAGTAAACCGTATCTCAGTCCTCAGATGCATTTCCATATTATATATTTTATATATAGGTAGTATTTTACTAGTATTACTATCTGAAAAATCATGATATACCTTTAGAGTCAATTGGTTTATTGGAGAGTATAACGGCATACCTTTTCTTATATTAATATGTATGCAGAAATGCATATGTAGGTATACAGAGTGAAACAGTGAAAACATAAATTGTATAAGTACCTAGGTATTAGGTGAATGGTGAGCAACGAATATATATTATTTTATTATTTGTTTATTAACTAAATGTTATTAGTTGTATACTTTACTATTCAAACCTATTGATTCTACAATGATGTATTTTTTTTCATTTTTGTGTTTGTTTTCATCTTTTAGGACACTAAAACTCCTTTGAAATTTGCAGTTTGTATCAAAATTTAAGTAGGCATTAAATTTTTTTTTAGTTTTTCATAAAAAATGTCGATAAGCAATTTTTCACTGGGTTAAAATTTAATACCAACTTTCGAATAAGTTTCTATCATATATATGCTTAAAAATATTAAATATTTAGGAATTGGCACTTTTTTATAAGCTTTTTGAATTTTTGAAGTTCAAATGTTCTCATAATTTGCCAAAGCCGTGAAAAACCTAGAAAATTTGCGAATAATTTTGTAATCGAAAATATATAAAATATTAAATCTTTATAGGTAAGGATTGAACATTTTAACAAGGTTCCAGGATCCAACCAAAATCTAAATATGTTGGTAGATTATATATATAAAATCATTTTTTATTTTAATTTCATTTTAAGTTAAAATTTGGACAAAATTAAATGACAAATAAAGAATAATAATTTTAGTCATTTTTTTATAATTTAAAAATTGTATTCATGGGTACTTGATACTTTTTAATTTAATAACGTATATTATTATATTTTATACACACAATGACATTTTCAAACTCAATGTCCTTGACAAATTCAAAGTAACTTGTTACTTATAGTAAAATAAATAACTTTATAGGAACATGAATATATGTATCATAAAATATACTCATTACTTAGTAACATATGCTGACAGACCACCTTCGCTTTATGTCTAATCGTTTTTCGTATGTTATGTAATGATTTATCGTTAAATTCAAATTTAACACATCCATTACAGCGACTTACTCCTCAATGACGAAGAACACTCGATACCTAGTATGTCCAATAATTGAAAGTGTACCTACAGCAAGTGGTTACCTACTTCCCCTCATTATTTTTTTGTTCTAAGTTCTGTGGTTAATTAAACCCGCCGCACTACTCAAGAACCATACAACGTAATCATAAATATAACTTATGTGTTAATAGATCGCTTGTTGAAAATATGTACAGTGGATAAAAATAGATTTATATTATATACATTCTGCATATTAAATGGATAATTTGTATATTATTTTGGTTGTTTTTTTATGACGTGTTATATGAGTTGTTCAAACAACACGTCTTAGAACTATGGAGTAAATTAGTAAGTAACAAAAAAATGTTTTTTGAATAATTTTCTATAGCGTAGAAAGAAACATTTTTTTTGAGATAAATTTTTAGAAAATATGGCATATTTATAAAACATATTTATAAAATATTTAATACCTTGCAATACACCCCCGGAAAAAATACCTACGTATCAAAATTGTATTTAAATTGTAAGTTTAAGTACCTACGAAAAATAAAATATTTATTAATTACCTATGATAATTTGTAAACGTACATAGTATTATAATATCGTATATATATATTATATATCTGCTAACTAAAATTAAAAAGATCATATTTTCCTATTGTCGTTATGACCCAAATTGAATAATCTATAATAATACGCTAGGTGTATGTTTAATATTTAAATGTTGAGTTATAACTCATAATATTTATCATCTAATATGTAAACGAATTAGTTTTCAGTGTTGTATATTTTTTAAATTAGTTAATATTTAAATTAGTTACTAATTGATTATTAACTATTTGACTTAGAAATTTAACGGCAAAAAATGTATAAAATTATGTCATACGCAATATTTTTAATAAAATGTTATTCAACTAACCAACAATCAAGAGGTGTTATTGGGATTTAGGTTTATTAGATAACAGAAAGAATAACTCAATAGTTGATGAATCAAATAATATAATGAATAATTTAAAATATTAAATTTATTGTATCTACTCTGCTGACTGCTGTAATTGACGGCTTCGCTTCAATGAAGAAAAATGAACATAAGATATTAGAATTTTGAAGTAATTTTAGAAATATTTTATTTTACGTTATACTTATTTTTGTAAGTAATAATGTTATTTTTATTAACATAATTTCATAATTTTATTTAAGTTTTAGACGTTAATTTGATCATTGTTTTCTTGTGAAATAAAATTCTTTGTTTTAAATTTTAATACATAGGTAGGTAGTCTAAAATTAAAAATACAATTTTAATCGTTATTGTTTTATTAATTGTGTATGTACAGTATAAAGGTACAAAAAATAAATTCTATCTATGCTACTACTTCTTCCCCGTTTATTTTATATTTAATTTCCCTAAATTCAATACCTACTTATCTAGATTATTTGTCTACAAATTTAAAAAAGGTCCTTCACTATAGTAAGTTTAATACTGGACTAGGTGCTTTCGAATGAAATCATAACTTAGTTCCCGAATAAATTTCAGAAAATCTTTATAAAACATACACGTAATAATATAGTATACATAAATCCTATATAGCTAGATAGGTACCTACTAATATAGTTTATAGTGTATTAAATGTGTACACGTCATGTAAACCTTTGTCAAACATAAACGTCTAATATATATATATATGATGTTCAATGTATTACATTTTTTGTACAAACCTACTTCGAATAACTATATAATTAATTCATATATTATTATTTATTACCATTATATTATCTTGGATATTTTAATAATATTGTACATCCTACTCACATTGAATGTGCGGGTTGGGAAATTTCAAACGAAAAAGGATTTAAACGAGATGAGCTGGTTCAGTAAATTAAAAGGTGAGAACAAAAATATTTTAATATTTCTTCTCTCATTTTATCAAAAACTTTTGACGTTCAATGTTTATTATAGTTAGTTAATTAAAAACTTATCCTGCAAGAGTAGACATTTATTATGTACTTTATATATCGTTTATACACCATTATTCTGTAATTTGGAATTTAAACTGACTTTATACAACAATAAAGTTGATTAATATTATAGTTTTAAAAATTGATAATGAAGAAACATATTTTTAAAATGTGAAAATAAAGGATTTTAGGAATCTTATTATTTTAAGAAGAAACTGTAATCAAAAGACTTAACATTTTTGACAAGTTGAATGTAGTATTTTCGGACATTATATAGTCAGTGGGTCTACCTAACCATTGTATATAAAATTATATCATTGTAATATTATTTTAATGATGGAACTCCGAACTATGTATAGGTAAATCATAAATTATTTTTCAGTAACTTTCACAGTTTTAATTTATTAGGTAGGTACACAATTATTTTTATCACCAAGTGCATTTACCTAATTGTGTAATTTATTATTATTATATATTGTTCAACATAAATATTAAATACTACACTCAACAATATAATATAACACACTTATAAAGTTTATAAAATAGAAATGTATATAAAATAAACACATATATTATGTATATGTATAAAATAAATATACATTGCCGTCATGCGCACACACTAGCTACTGCTCTTTTCCCTAACCTCTCCTACACTCTTCTTGCCCATTTGCTGCCGTTTATCGGTTTTCTCCTTCCATACTCTTTTTCATAGCGTCAAAAACAGCAGCGTAATCTTCTATCCCCATATTCCTCAGTTTTCTATTCTAAATCTCTATTCTAATATACAATCCCGTCGTATTTTTTTTCCTTGTCGTGTACGGTCTTTTAGCTGCCAGCTAGCAGTCGAGCTGACGTTCGAGAAAAGCCGGGGGGGGTAATGTACGGACAGAATGTCGACTCAATTTTTTCCATCCAAATAGAATTTAATAATATTTATGTCAACAAAATAATTTTCTTGTAGTGTTTTAAAAAAAAAATCATAATACATGTTTTTCATGTGTGTATAAAAAATCTATGTCCATACTATATGTTTTATAATTTAGACTGATAATTAAGGACAAAGTCTATAGCTTCGTTTATATAAGGATCTCATGCAAGCATGTGCACCTTCTTCAATCTGTTTAAAACATAACCTATCTGTGTATTATATCTATATTGTTTATAAATTATATTATATTACATTATTGTGTAACACTATACCTAACTATACAAATCAAATTGTAAATTACAATGTGATTGTTGGCGCGAGTTTCTGTTTTTGTAAGATGTATATAATATATAATATAATAAATACATAAACTATACAGAGAAGTGGTTTTTTTACCCCAAATCCTTAAATCGATTAGGTACCTTATATTTACACTCGGTGGTATTATCTCATTATTATTATTATTAAAGGCCGTCATTTTTTCTCTTGCTATTATCGTCGTTCGTTTTCCACTGGAGGCTGCGGGATGTGGGGTAGCTAACTGCAGCTTGGTGGAGGTAACTTGGGCGTGACGCCTGCTCTCTCGAGGCACGCCCATAGGAGCAATAGCAGCAATGGCCGACCATACTCGACAATTATCGTCAGTACAGCATCCCTCATCTCACTCTACCCGGTGGCACCCACTTCATCCCCTTCTATTGCTTAAAGGGGGTGCGGGAATAAGTTGACTGAGAGGAAAAACAATGATGGTGGTGGCCAAAAACATTAAGGCCCAGAGAAGACCACCGCCGTTTACCGCCAGTGTCATAATCAGTGCGAAATCAGCCGCCGTTGTTGTATTATCATCTATATAATATTTTAACATTATTGATAATACTAAGTAAAATAATTTTAATAATAATAATCAAGTTGTTGTGTGTATAATTATGTATTATATAGTTTACTGCTAGCAGTTGTGCGGATAATAGTTTTCCAGTGTGGTGAATAAATGTGTATCTTGCGATTAAGGATTTTATTGGATTCCTTGTACACTGGAAAAATAAAATAAAAAGGTTTTTCTAAATATTATTTTTATTTAATTTACATTATGTTACAATGGTATATATAATAGCCACCGCTTTATAATATATATATAAATATATTATATTATATTGTGAAATACGTGTGAAAATGTTGCTAAATAAAAGTATTGGCACGCGATTCTTACGGTGGTGACATCATCTATGATCATCAAATAAGTTATTACTTTCAATTTATATGTATTCATTACTAAAGTAAATTTAAAACCATTTTCTATAGATATATTTATCGGTATTTCCTACATTTGGTTTTCCTAAAACTAATTTGATGGAGAATACTACTTCAACCACATTTACAACTGATAATCAATCGTCAAATAAGAATAACGAATTGAAAAATGGGGAAAATATCGAAGATTGCCAACAACAGCATCAGAGACGCCAGAGGGCTACCGGAAATGGTCGGTGGTGTACCAGCAGCGTTCGATCACGATCATCTACATCATTTCTCATACACAATTTACTAATATCTTGTTCGGGTGATGCTAGTGACGTGCAAACAACTGTATCTCCTCCATCACATCCGTTGGTTGAACAAGATAACGACAATGAAGATACTAGTAATAATAGTAGCAGCAGTGAAGGCAAAAGTAGAAGTTGTAGTCCACAAGAGATACAACTATCATCCCCTGTAATGGATGTAAAAGAAGAAAAAGAAGATGATGTTAATGGAATGTACGATGCAGAACACTACAGAATTAAGAGACGTAAATGCACCATTCCTTTTAGAAGGAGAACAGCTAAGAAAAAAGAGAGCAGCAGCACTAATGCTAGCGGTGATAGTGATATTGAAAAAAGAGAAAGTAAGAAAATCAATAACAATCTAGAATTGTATAAAGCAATTTATGTATGATTAATATACCCATGATTTGATATTTCATAATTAGTAAAACAATTCACAAATTCAAGCTTAATATAATCATAATATTCAGTTACCTATAGCTAAGTTTTTTTATTTAAATTTTTTTAAAAATATAATCTCAAATTCTTACCTATCAACATGTTAGTACCAATTTAGTGAATTAGATTATAATCACAAAAAAAATGTAGGTAGATATATGTATAATTATATTCTTAAATTGGATGCTGGTACATTAAAAATATTATTTATGTTTTAAAGATTCACATAAATAGATATTTTATTTTCAATAAAAATAAATCCTACAAAACCAATTGTTATTTATTTTCTCTATTTTTTATACTAGCATAATTTAAAACGTAGTTGTGATTTATAAATGACGCAAGTAACTGTTTGATGAATATGAAAACTATAAATCATTATTTAATTATAAATAATATAAGATAATATTATTAATTTAACATTTTATTAACAATTTTATTAACGCGGTAGGTAAACTACATACACTTGGAAAATCAATACAGTTTCATTAATTTCATTACACAAATAGTCAGATTATCTGGCAAGTATATGTATATTCCGCGTTATTAGTTATTAGTTATTGTTATTAGTAGTATAGGTATTAAGTTAGTCAGGTTAATTAAAGCTCTCGAGGTAGGTATAGATTACAATAATATTATAATTCCAATTAGAATTTATTTTTAACTATTTCTACCACATTAATTTGCAGATATGGCTTTATTATAAAAAATACATTTTTACTAAATATTATCTATAGGCACCTACACGATTTTCGTTATGGTAGTAATTTACTGTCATGTAGGTATCTTTAAATCTTACAACCGATTATAGTTTGTTTATCTTATAACATAAATCAATGTGTTAATTAATTAATTCATTCATTGGCATTAATGTTAACAGTTGATAAAGAAGCATCATCACTAAAAGTTTCTGAGGAAGATTCACAAATGCCATCAATGCAAACCCAATCACCACCTATTTCAATATACCTATCCACAACTATGAATCATCAACATCAACAATCTGCGATACAAACATCAACCCAAACACCTACTTCAACGTCAACCATGCCTGTGTCATCGTTAAACTTCAGCGTAAACGCCATTCTCAGTGGAGGAGGATGTTCTAATGGGCGAAGCAATAGTACTAGTAGTAACTGTAGCACCGGAAGCAACGGGAGTAACGGGTCCAGTGGTTTCGGGTACGGTGGAAAAATGATGCCGCATCAACAAAATATATATGACACTGGTCAACAGCACAGCCAACATTTGGCGTCTGCTGCTTTTTTGCGAATTACAGCCGCGGCCGCAGCAGCTTCCGCTTCATCGCCTTCTGGTAAGTTGAATTCACCATGATAACAAACTCTAGTGTAGTACGAAAATATTAGAACAAACTAATAAATATAACCAAATAACGTATTTTAACAAATGTAATCACTAATAAGAGTGGTTAGGTTAAACGGAAAAGTAATATATAGGTAATATTAAAAGCTGTACGCAACGAATTTGTCGTTTGCAAAACATAATATTATTCAATTGTAGTATTGAATGAATAATAATATAGTTATAACTTATAACTTATAATTAATACAATTGCTATAGGTAGGTAAAGAGTGTAATAATTGGAAGTCATAAACTGCTAAACGAAATGCAATAGAAAACATTTATTTTGTAAATGTTTTCTTTTAAGTTATAGTATATGTAGTCAATTACGTAATAGGTGGGTACATAACATTACATATAAATATAGTTAATTTCAACGTCTAAACGCCTTATATATCACTGGTACAATATAAATACGTATATAAATGCTTAATATTATAAAGGGACTATGAGTGCAATGATATTGAAGTATATTATTATTATGGTGATAATGGGCGGGACTGTCGTTCGATCTTTTCTTTTTTTTTCTTTGCTATAACTTTCATTTTTTCTTATTCCCCAAACGGGTAAAGAAAGTAGCATATTCTTTAATTTATAGCATTAGTCGTTTAGTGCTGTCATTTACAGCCTTTTTTTGCAAATGTATGTCTCTCTATACATAATAATAATAATAATAATAATAATAATAATAATATCTTATTAGGTACAATAACTGTAACAATTATTAATGTTATTAATATTATTGCAACATACGTATTGAAAAATTCACAGTACCTTATATATTTGTACGAATATAATACGAAGCCTAAAGTTGAAAAACGGTCTAATAATATTTACTTAAAAGTTGCATTTTTAACACTAAATTATATTATTTTTTTTTAGTTTAAGAGTGAAATATTCATAATAAATGTGACAATTTGTATTTACTACTATTTTTGTCAATGACATAGATATAAGTAGGTGATAAGATATAACATAATAGTAAACACTGCACATCCGACTATAACACTATTAACACTTCTCTGTTTACATAAATGTACATCGTATATTCGTTCATAATATTGTGTACACAATGTACAATCGATTATTTCACTTAGGACATAATGTAACATAACACAAATACAGCTGAGATATTGCTATTGAAGCTCTTTAGTACTAATAGTAACATAAAACTATTTATACAAAATGTTTAAGCGACGATGTAGCTGACTTATTATATACATTTATATGTGCTGTTAGTCAATCGATCTTTGTATAGAGTTACCCAGGAATGACACGAAACATCACGATTATTATAAAGCAAACACTAGGAAAACGAAATATGATTCCCTGACATTTTTACTTATGTCATGGGTCTATTAAGTATGTGTGTTTAATGTTAAGCTACGCGATTATTCCTTGTGTATTATTAATTCATATTTTAGTTTAGAAAAATTTTAGATGTAATAATACACCTACCTAAATTAGTATTTCATATATTATAGCCATCGGTATATACTAAACAAAACCATGAAATAACTTAGAAAAATACATACTGTATAATATGTACATTGTGTAACGTCCCCTCTCCACCTATCGTTCTGTTTCTCGCGACCTGTGTCGTTCTGTTTATTTTAACGAGGTCTCAGAGACTCGATCTCGGTTTTTTATTATTACTAGAGATCAGGGTTACCTACCTTATGCGAAGCAAAATATTCGACCTATATATATATGTGTGTTTGTGTGTATCTATTATTAAATATTAATGTATTATTATTACTACAACATCGAATCTTATAATATATCAAACATCAAATAATATGTATTAGATATACTTATAAATTATAACTGAGGGTTACCGATCGGACCATACTGTGTCGTGGGTGCCGATATCCAATGTGGGTTGATTGGTCGTCTGCGAGTTCTCTTCAGGTCGTTGTCAGCCCTCGACTTCCACTTTCGACCATTCACTATGACTATATGAGTATATGACCCTCGACCATCGACTCTTGATTCTATCTATCGACTGCTCGGAGTCCCGGTCGACTATTAACACGACGCGTGCAAAACATGCGTCAGCATAATGTATATATTGCATACATATATGCACATTTACCATTACTAACACTCAGCATATTAGCCGTGCTCAACGTAGGGAGTACTGTACGATGTCGATGACGACAATCGTTACAAATTTACAGTTGTATAGAATGGATAACTTATTTATATGTGTACCTATAGGCTATATTAGACTATATTCTGTTATAACAATCATTGGTGGATCAGCATCTATATGTATAAGGATAATTAGTATTAATTACAGGCTTATTTACGGGGTTATTTGGGGAATGGATCCCATTGACTTTTATTTTGTAACTGTTATACGTACCAATTGCTTGAAAAAACATAATATTACATATAAATATAGTTAATTATTTTAATAATTTCTTAAGTTAATAGCATGTTTAAATACTAAATAGTACTATACTAATAATTAGTGATCTTGTTATCATGGGATCTTACACACGAGAAGAAGAATTAAGTACATATGAGATTATTGAAGAACTTCGCCTTAAAAATAGAAAATTATATTTTATATTTAATAAATTAAACGTATCCAATTTTATTACGTTTATTATTGTTTTTAATCCTGTTATTGAATAAGGGACAAAGTGTGCACTAAAAAAATAATTTTCTGTATTCTTCCAATCGTAAACTCCAAATCACCCCTTGTATAGTACATAATATATCATATGTTATATTATTATTAGTAATTTTTTAGTTTTTTAAGAACATTTTTAAAATGTTAGTTTGTAATATTAGGTTTTCCGCATGATGGCTATGTAATCTGTGCAAGGTTTATTTCCTAGAAATTATTGTGTTATCGAATGTCATATATTAAACACAATGCACAATATACATTATGTATATTATACATACAAAATATATAGTAAGTATATAGTCATATATCAAGTATGAAAGCCACAAATAATATTCTCCTATTTCATTTTGATAGTATAAGACAATTTGCTTTAATATTGACCCAGAGTCCACACTCCACAATTAATATTTTATTTGTTATGTCGTGTGTATGATACACATTAGACAAACATAACCAGGATAAATTCCTTTTTTTATGATACAATTCACACAACATTTGGAAATCAATCATAGAAAATGTATGTCTGTTTACCTGTTAATCTGCTGTATAATCTACAGTTTGCTTTTATAATACTATAGCACTCGTGCATTTAACTATTGCTTATGTAAGGAACTAAAAACAGTTCAAAATCTCAAAGTGAAAGAGTTGTAATGTATTTTAGACTTTAGAGGTAGCTTTTCTGATTGTTTTATAATTGTATTTATCTTTACAGTATTTCCCTGTCGACGGCTATAGGTATTTTACCAGAGAACAAATAGCTCGTTTAAAATAATAACTAAATTTGATTTAGCATATCATTTACATTTTTACAACTATTCAACCAAGATAAATACATCTTGTAAAAAACAATGTTTTTTTGATATGCAATCTATATTATTTACTAAGATATTTTTTTAAATTTTTTTTATTAGCTTTCGGTATAAAACCATTATAGCTCAAACTACTAAGATATTTATAGGTATTTAATATTATGTTATATCAATTGTAATTTTCCTATGCATATTTAGTCTACAGTGATCGTATTGAAATTGCATACATTCATATCAATATATTATATACTTATACAGACAATGATTGCATTTTTTAATATGGAGTATATTATGATTAATTTCACCCACTATAGTTTTTTTTGTAGTCAAATAATATTTTTTAACATCAATAACATGTAACATCTTCTTCATCCTTTAGTATTGAAATATTCAAAGCATGCATGTTTATTAAAAGTATCAATTATAAATTATAGAGGCTATTTTTAAAAAATTTAAGTATTGGAAATATGTGTATAAAAAAACTGTAGTTTTCTGCTATTGAGACTACTACAGGTTGATACTGCGTTATATTATTTTTGGACAATTGTGTCATCTGTAAGTCACAATAACATAAACAGCTAATATTAGTCTGCTTAGGAACTTAATGTGTAAGACATCCGATATAATGTCAACAAACCAACAATAATGTAACGCGGTGTTATAACACTTATAACTTGTGATAGTTGCAATACCTAATAGAATAGATTTTATCGGAAAATCTTATAAGTCGGGGTGGCTGCGATAACCAATAAAAGTACTAAATTATACTATGTGTGTACAAATTAGTATATCCCATTGATAATATATGTAATAAATTGGCAATCCCTAGAGGCTAGATACTAATATATTATATATATTAAGGCCATATGGAAATCTCTATAATTGCTATACTAAACACTCGTGGAGCAACGTTCCCGAAGTTTCAGTACATATCATAGTTACCACTGTTACCAGTAGTAACTAATAGGTGGCCGTTCTAATTTAAAGTCGGATTTATTGCTATGTCTTGTGTTGTCTCATGCGAAGGTGTGGTACTATATGGTTACAAGTTACAACAGGTAATCATATTGGTTTAAAAGTTGAGCTGTAGTTAAATATTAATATAATTGGTCGCAACATGATTATTACATGATACCAAAAAAAGTATCGTCTAATCACAATGCGATTTAGCGCACGATATAGCTGTGAAAGCGCCTTTATACCATTTCTACCCTTCTATTGTACTAATAATTATTATTAAATAAATAATATTTATTACTTGCCGTTTGAATTTTTAACTATTATCCGTTGTTTGACATTTAGAAGTTTTAAGAGAAGTATATATTGACATAATATTACCAATCATAGAAGAAAAATATAAAATAGTTATTCATTTAAAATAAAAAATGAATTATCCATGGTGTACAAAATATGGGTATTACCTCATAAGCTTATTTTTCTGGAACATCCGGGAGAGGCTGAATGGTGGCCTATCAATTTTATACTATCAATGGTAGGTATGTCCATGTAACATCATAATTCATAATTGCACAACAGTCAACAAGTAACTTCCAAATAAGCAATAATGATAGTGACTCAGAATCATTTGAAATTATATTTTGAATACTTAGATACCTATGTGTTTATTAATATTTCATTTTGACCACATAATATAAGGTACCTACACATGAATTTCTTTTAAAAAAAAAGTAGATGCTCGAGTATGATGTGTTTGTTCATATTTTTAGGTCCAATGTTTTACCATCATCATCATCTCGCTTCAGTCGCTGCTCTCCACCACCACCACCACCACCAACAACAACAACAACAACAGCAACAACAACAACAGCATCAGCAGCAGCAGCAGTTACTCCAAAACCGAGTACACGCGGCAACCTGCAGTCCGTCACCTACACCTCCGCCGTCTTGTCTACAGGCCGCCGCGTCTAACACACCGCCCACTTGCACCTTCTTGACGGACGCCACCAGCACAGTGACCACTGTTCCACAGCCTGCACAATCTCTTCGAACCATTGCCAAGCCCATCGCACGCAGGCCCACCAACTCCGCGAATCCCAATGTGGGCTCCAACGGGAATCTCCACAACTCCGCATTGCTGCCTCTGGCCGCCGCAAATTTGGAGTCCAACGGACCATCGAGCAGCGGCGGTGGCGGCGGTCTGGCGAACAACGCCAATGAGAGTTCTGGCGGTGGCGGCGCAAGTGTGTGCAATTCCACCGCACTGTCGAACACGTCCACTTCATCTTCTACTAATCCCGGTAATTATAGCGTATTAAATTTCTTATAGAGATTAATTGTTATATATTATACTCAGCATTTCAACCTAATTACTTACTATAATTACACCTATATATTACTTACCTATGTATTATATCATAATATATTATAGCTGCTGCTGGGCCGACGTCAGGCCGTATGAAATGATTAATTACTTAAATTTTGTTTAAAGTAATTTGTAATCTTCACCGTTAATGATGTATAGTATATCATATAATATAATATATAAAGTACAGCGATGATGGTGGTATTAGTAGTTGTGTACCTACCTATAACAGAAAGTTTGTTGTTTCTGTTAGTTGTTTCTATAACTTTAGAGAAAAAAAACAAAAACTAATAATAATATAATTTCTCGTTGACCCGGAAAAATGTTTTTCTCAAACGGTGCGATCCTTTCGAAGGTGCCAAAAAACATATACCTCGTACAATAATCATTAATTATAAAATAATCGTTTGCCTCGAGAGTTCGTAGAGGGGGTAAGCGAATGTTGCACAGTTGCTAACAATAATAATTTCTCTTATAATTACCCCCTACTATCGTATTTACAGCTATGATATACATATATAAATAATAAATATATTATTATTTCATTACTTATATCGTTATTATAAAGTTTGAGCACCGTAAATCAAAAACAGACTAGCAATATGCGATGTACGTGGATATGTTTTTGACGAATGATACCACGCGTTAAAATAGATCGTTAAACGCATTCGCGTATGTCGTAAACATAAACTCGTACAGTCGCGTCTACGGCGACTGGCCGACACGTGCCGCCGGCCTCCGTTCGACTGAAATGTCATCGGCAGCACACGCAGCAACACAGCGGTATATATGCACCAACTAACAGCAATTCGTATAATCATATAATATTATATATTTTATTATTACATAGCATTTTAAACGACGATTATCGTTGGTCTAATCGCCATGTATTATTTATTATTTCATATTTGTTCTGTTTAATATATTGTACATACATATACGAATACGATAAGGTACCTACCTATTATAAAAGCAAAAAAATGAAAAATAATAATCAATAAAATTATAACGAGAACTCGGGAGATGTATAAGAGAGTATAATAAATATAGAGACGAATTTGAGAAGAATGGAAAAATAAGGAAAATAATATAGAATGCGCGAACAAGAGAAATAACCGACTTCACCCCGTCCCGGCGCAGTGTAATCGAGTGCTGTGATTCCAACCTACCCCCCGCTCCATATCGCTGTTGTTCTAATACACCTCCCCAGTTCTGCCAGCAAACTCATTCGCCGCCGCCAACCCCTGGGCGAACCTGTCAAACGCACGCGCTACACACTACCCTCAGCGCTACCCTTGTTCCCATCTCTTTTCCACTCACTTATTATAATATATTTAATAATCCAATGCAGCCGCAAAAAAGGGACCCTTCCGCCGTATTCTTCTTACTATTGAAGTCAGTTGCACACACTGCCCACCGATTAGTGTTGTTGTCGTTATTAGCGTCTGTTGCACCGGATTGCATTTCTGTTTTTTTTTATAATATAGTATATATATTTCGTCGTCCCCTTCTTTATACAATAATAAAAAATAATAATAATAAATAATTAAAAATCATCTACTATAACGTAGGCGATAGCAGTGGAACATTCTGCTGCCCGGCATAATATCATAGATCCGTGACTAAAATGAGTACAACACTTGAATTATTTTCAGAATAAAAATTATTATTATTATTATTATTATTATTATTATTATTGCAACACGTGCTGTTGGCGGCGCGAATATTGTCGCCCTGCTCTTTGCTGCAATGTGGCGTCGGCGTAACGCAGTAATAATCATAATAAGATGAGAAGGTAACAGCTGCGGCTGCTTATATTATTATTAACACCGTCTCTGTGGTTATTTATTATTATTTATTTATACACTGACTAGTCGGGTTACACAATAGTAATATTTCGGAAAATGTAGCTAGCGGGGCTTGCAGTCCATTTGGTATCCCAAGCTGCTTGTCGTTTTACTTATATTCAAAAAGCAAAACATTATGTCCACATTAATTAATTCCATAAAAAAAATACTAACAATTTATACTACCATATAATAGGTTCTATTGTAGGCCTTACATTTAACACACAACATTCACCTTACAAGGTACCTAATTTGTTTGTAAAAGGGTACTTGATTCTTTAAATACTATATTTATGTGTAAGGACATAAGGTGTAACAATTAAATACACCCCAAAAATAAGTAAAACCAATTTAACAACCATTTGATTGAAACCAAAATCGAGCAACAGCAGATTTGATAGATTTCTTATGACGCTTAGATACCTATATACAAGGTATATAAATTCTACTATATATAAATATAGGTATGATTCAATGTTTTGAATTTTACTTCTAAAATATATTAGATTTAAAGTTGTATTTTTTTTTTAATTCAGGTATTTAAACTTGATCTTGGTAATTAATAGTTAGTAATGACAACTTTGCAAGCTTAATTATTGGTACTTGTGGTATTTGGGAAATATACCTACTAAATAATCGTCGATAATGGCACATAAATAATATTATACTGGTTATAAATATTTTTTTAATAAACAATTTTTAGGTCCAGGACGACCAAATGGAGCTGGAATAAACAGGTTCCCTATAGTACACCCTCAGTACAATTATCGCCATCATTTAGCTCATCAACATCCTCACACTCATCATGAAATCCTCATGATGCAGTCTCGATCAAATGGAGTACCTAGCGCGAACAACGGAACATCGAACTCTCTGGCTTCCGTTCCTCCGTCGCCTTTTTCATCTTCCACCACGTGGCCTTATAGTGGGGGATCCAGTGCAAACGGAGGAGGATCTGTACATATAACCGGAACGACTGCACATCATCATAGAATTACGCCATTGCACCATCATCAGCATCATCCGTCAGCAACAACCATGCTATTAATGAGCACCAACAACAACACCTTAAACGTGATGAACGGTGTAGTAGTTGGTGGAAATAACAGGGGAAAACCACGGAGGGGCATGATGCGACGGGCCGTGTTCTCTGACGCACAACGGAAGGGCTTAGAACGTCGGTTTCAGGTGCAAAAGTATATCAGCAAACCAGATAGAAAGCGATTGGCCGACAAGTTATCGTTAAAAGATTCACAGGTAATTGAAAATAAATATTTATATTATTTTCATATATTTTACATAAAACTGTAGGTAATATATTAATATTTAATGTGTATAGTATTATTAAACTAAACATTTATTTTTGGGAAGGTAAATATTTTTAGCAGCATTTATTTATATTGCCAACGGCGTCAAATTGTTTAAATATCGTTTATAGTTCTATTGTTCTATAAAAACCATTAACTTATTATTTATTATTTATGAGTATCCAAGACTAAGTTGTAATTATTATTAATCAGTGCACAAATAATATGAACTATAATAATAAGTTAAGAGTAGAATTTACTAATTAATAATTATTTTTGCGATCGGTAGGTATTCTATTTAAACATTTAATGCTTAAACTTGACATTTGTATACTTTTATATGAGCATAATCGATTTCTTTCTAGCTATTTATATAATTATACAATATTTAATAGTAATTTTATTCTTGTTCTATGAAGAAAAATATTTTAACGTGGAGTCGCGGTAAACGTATAAAATGCTTTTAATAAATCTTCGTATAGTTATTTCATCATTACCGGATTACAGACAAGAGCTATTGACTTTAGAACGGTGTACTATATTCAAAAGTTTATTGAAAGTCTAGAAAGTTGGATGAGTGTCTGGGAAGTTAAGTAGAAGTTTATAAGATATGTCAATATGAAATTATTTGTCGATGGATAATAAACAGCTTAACTCAAGGGTCCATGTAAAAATATATATGGGTACACCTATAATACATATACCATAACATATCATACAATTAAGCAATTTTAACCAACTTAACTTTGTATTAAAAATATAAATTAAGTTTGTATAAAATATTTAACATTAATACAGCTACAAGTTATAGATTTGATTGTGAGTTATAATATTTTTAATTTTTAACAACAAATTGTATTAGAATTCTTATTTACATATTAATTATTTGTAGAACACCTACAGACTATGTACTAGAATGAACTTATAAACTACATTAACTTATTAAAAATTAAAATAGGTACATATATAAATCCCTTTCACGGTGAAAATCACTGTAACCATTATTGTATTAAATCATATTTTGTTAAGGAATAATGTATAGGTAGGGAATAAAAACATTATTGTAGATGTGTGATCAAGAGTAAGTACAGTGGTAAACCCCTCAGTGACACATAGATTAACATACGCTAAGGTACTTTTCCCTTCTGTGGACGGCGTTTAGCGTCACTACCGGTCCGGACTGTATAAGTCGGCGTCTAGACCCGGAGCAACGTCGAGATGCCGTGCTGTTCCACTATTTAAAACTGCGAGGAAACCGTACAGTTGGGCATCACGTCGTTCGGTAGACAAAATATTTTTGATGGATTTTTGGAGTTTTCTAATCTAGTTAAGAAACAATTATGAAAGGTTGCTACGCTTCTTCCTCGATTGTTTTAATGCCAAAGTCTTTCTGACATCAGGTTAAAGACAAAGGGTGGAGAATCAGTAATCTTATAAGAAGTGTGATATTTTGGAATGCTTGAATTATGTTTAAATTCTATTTCTTAGCCAATTCCCTATTCGAGAAGTTCCGAACGAGTTTCGGAAACGAGCGTTGAAATTTAATCGTCTTTATTATTTTTAATTTTTGGTAAGGTTCTTCTAACTTCCATTACATTTTCTTATTGGGCATTGGACAGTCTTCTACTATGTAAGAAAATGTTTGAATGTCATTCGTATTTCATATGATATTATGAAGTACACGCCACACAGCCAGTTCTTTAGCCAGAAATTTTTTCATACATTTTAAGTTTTAAGTTCAATAAACTATTCGAGCCAGGGTGGATAGGTACATTTTTACAGGGATATATTTATTAGGCCTGTATATATTAAATTTATAAAACCCTCTCTTCGATCTTAATACGTTTTACAACTAAATCATATAATATATTATATACTACACGATCAATTTTTAAAAATAAACAAGTATTAAAATGATAAAAATTTTTAAAATGTACTACTCTCTATATTAATATACTGTTATACACATTAATTATTATTATGATTGTTTATTTTTGTCATTAGAACATCGAACATATTTATTTATATTTACATTTTATACATTCATTAATTTTAGTACAATAGTACATACGATGATTAAGTAATTTACTTCATCAGTGGTTCGTACAACAAAATAGGGATGTATATTTATACTGGTTTCAAAGCGTATTATACGTAGGCCTCTAATGGAGTGAACAAATACTACAAATAACTAATAAGCATTAATACTGTACAGCCACCACCAGCCGGTATTATATTACAGTATTAAACAAATTTATTTTTATGTTATAATTTTTTTTTAAGGGACTACCAGGGAAATCCCGATTTTCCTATGGGCTTCACTCACGAATAAAAATTTCGAGCATTGACTGTATTTTTAAAATGATCTAGTAATGTGCTATTATGTGCTTGTAATATAATGACGATCAACATTAAAAAATAAATTATGCTTTCATAATAAGTAATGATATTGCCATAAGCCACACGCAAATTACCTATTAATTATGAATGAAAAAATATATAATTTTATTAGTTTTTGAAAAAATATATAGGTGATATTGTAGAACAGAAAAAAAATGTAAGTAATGTAATGTGGATAATTTGATTTATATAGTGTAAAATGTTTATTGCAATATCGGTCGTAACAAATTATCGGAACAAAAGCCAACTGTCAAATTAAGCGGCACTGACAGATACCCTATTTTCACAAGGATAAATTATACCCATTTTACTTCAACAAATAGATAAAAACTAACTTATCACTGGCATCTATAGGTAACGTATATGGCTACATGGAACAGCTTTATTATTATAGACTCGGGAATGAAACGATATTGATCCTATAAAGTTGCAACTATATAAGATTAACTAATAGTTTGAATGAACAGGAAATACTTTATAACAATATTTACCAATTGTTCCAGATAATAATAAATATTTAAAAGGTGATAAGTTTAGGTACGCACTGGAAGTAATTTTTAAAAAATATGTAGGTACCAGTTGGTACTTATTGCATGAATAAAAAAATACGGCATTGTGTTTGAAACTTGTTCAATACATTGACAACAATAACAAAATATCCTATATCTCTTTTGAATAAGTTATATATACACACAGTTATAACACGTGCACATAATGTAAATCATCAAGTAGCGGTGGAGAAGGGTCGAAATTTGCATGGAAGTGGAGCGGTTAGTCCCATCCAAAAGCATATTCCAAAAGTTCGTAATACATCCTACCTTTTTTAAAAAATGTAGAATAAACAAAATTTAAATTTAAAAAGCAAATAGCATTGAAACAAATGTATATATCAGTATATAACTACGAATACCGAATAATTGATGGTGCAGACTGCCGATTGTACATCTATACCAACTCTGGTCTCAGTACTTAGTACTCACCATAAGTCCGTATGTGAATATTATTCACTATAAATATTTATTGTATAATATCAGGAGGATGGACAATACCAAAATGTGTTGCATATATGTATGTAACTTGTAAATCATATAGTAATGGTATTCAAATACATAATTAGCCACTTCAGAAAATACTGTGGGAACATCAAAGCTAACCTCCAAGAAGCATTAGGTCTTGATCCAGACAGCATCAAATCTGCCTTTAAATTCCTAAAAATCATCAAAATTTATCAATTTAATTTAATACAAATCTATTATTATGTGTTTGTTTTTGTTATACATCCTATACTAGTACCTAATACCTATATTACTTTCCTTTCCCTATTCTCCCTGCTTCTTTCTGTTGCTCATAATATAAAATAAATTATTATGTAATTTTTCCATGTAAATACTATTTAAATTTCAAAAGGCCAATTATCTTTGTTGTTGTGGTTTCAATAAAAAAAAAAATAATAATAATAATAATAATGTTATTATTTAAATTGCAAAAAGCCAATTATCTTTGTTGTTGTGGTTTCAATAAAAAAAAAAAAATAATAATAATATTACGATCTGGAGGCGAGGCATGTAGGGGATCGAGTTTTTCTCTTTATTCGGACTGTTTACTGTTTAAGCCCTACAATATTAGAATATCGATAATGCGCTTAAACAATACTTCAATACCTACAAAACATAATATAATTTATAGTACGTATAGTAACCTACACTGGCTACACTATTATTATTGTAAATCATGTAATGGAGTAAACAGTGATCATAAATATAATGTTTATGTAAACTACATCAATTTATAACTTAAAAGCTAGTGTTACATTTTTCATATTATTATAATAAATTGTATTATATACCAAGAACTAAGATTAAAGATAAAAATTAATTAATTAAAATCTCAATCCGTAATTATGGGGTGATCTATTTAACGTTGGACTATATTCCACAAAATACAAGATTTTTCTTTTACATTAGGTATTTTAAATTGTTACAAATAATATTTTTTACTCGTCTAAACTTTTAAATACTTGTAAATAAACTATACTCGTCCAAAATTTGATTTTTAAAGATCAAAGTATTCCAAAAATACTTTGCTCTGGAATAAGGAATTAGAAATACATGAAGTCTTTAAAAAATATATATAAAAAAAATAAAAACCTTAATGATAAAAAATATTTTTTTAAGAAAAACGTTTTTTTTAAATGATTAAAAAAAATAATTTTCTAAAACGTTAATAGTTTATGCAAGTGTATCTTATGTAAAACGAAATACAATTCCCCGGTATAATATACAGATTATATACAGCTAAACTAGGATTTGGATTAAATTAAATTTAACCATAACAACTACGGGGTCATATCATGTTATGTCCACTACGTGGATATATTCAAGTATTCAAGTTTAAAAATGGGCTAGGATTGCCTTCATTAATTTTTTACATGAATTTCGTGACTAAAAATTTCGTTGAAAATGTATTTATTTATTTCGTACAGGTAAAGATATGGTTCCAAAACCGTCGGATGAAGTGGCGCAATACTAAGGAACGGGAACTACTGGCGGCCGGCACGGGTTGCCGTGAACAGACATTGCCGACGAAGAACAACCCAAACCCAGACCTGAGCGACGTGACGACGACGTCCACAGCAACGCCCAATAGTAGCGCGTTGTCGTCTTCTTCGACGGCGGCAACAACGTCGACCGCGGGACTCGGAGCGGCGACGTCGGCGATACCAACGTCGGCAGCTAGCCAACAGGATAAAAAAAATATCAACGGCATGAAAAACCACCATCAACATCCACATCACCATCAGCAGCAGCATCATCATTCGGTCCAACAGAAGCAGATACAACAGAAGAAGATCAACGTGGCGGTGGATCAAATGCTGCTGAACAGAGGCAACGGTGGTGGCGGAGGTGGAGGGCCACTAGTCGTCAGGCAACAGCAAGTGTTGTAGTATAATTATAATTACGATAATAATAATAATAATTAAATAATAATAATAATTATAATAATAATATATTATACGTATATTATTAACAGTGATATAATAATATTGTTGTATTATATTACATATTATGCATGTATGTATAAATCACCTTATTATATGTATACCTATATCTAATACATTAATAATAATAATAATAATAATACGTGCCATGACGAATAAAAATTTCCCATATTGAAATATTTAAATCATTGTTTGAACGTTTTTTTTCCTGTTGTTTTCCGATACCTATTATGATAGAGAATGCAGCAGTAAATATCATATTATGTCAAAACGTGCAGCAGCGATGGTATCGTGGTCGAGTATATTGAATACAAAGGGAAAAATTAATTATCGCATAGATTTTTCATAATGGACTGACTGTAGGTGCTATTATGAATTTCTCTCTTTATCATTATTATCCATACCATTTTTTTACTCTTTAAATCTCCATAATCGTAGGACAACGAGTTATGTATATATTATAATAAAATATTTTATATATATATATATATATAAGCACGACTGCTCGAGTATAATATAATAATATTTTTATAGGTACTATTGAGTGGTGAAAAATGGGAACATAACATGTGGAAAAGTGAATAAAGGGGCGGGAAAAAAATACCCAATAATAAAATATATTATATATAGTTGGGCGAATAAAACCCCGTCGAGTCGGTTGACAAACGAACGTAATCGCCGGAGAGAGCGAGAAAAAAAACTCGTCTCCTCCTCCGAGAAACATGAAATAGAGGTAAAATTTTTTCCAACGACCTCTCCTCTCGTCTCTGCGGGGACATAACATATATATAATAATATGACAAAAACAGAAGTACCGGGGCTAAAGTATTAAATATATATATATGTAGGCAGGTATACGACGAAATGAGAAAAAAGAGGACGGATAGAGAATTGATGCCGGCATAAGAGCTGCGCAGAGTTAATAATAATAATAATAATAATAATAATAATAATAATAGTAATAATAATAATTCTCGAACGTAATCGGCTGTCGTCATTTTCTCGTTTTTCCGCTCTCCGCCCCAAAGCTCGTCGTTAGGAGCACATACTTATTCGTCGCATCGAAGGCGGACTAGCGAGGGCGCGGTGCTCATTTTTTTCCATCTTGTCACCCCGTCTTTTCGTCCCGATGGAAAAACTCGAGAACGAATAAAATACCTCGGCGTCGGAAGTCGTAGAGGCAGAATTCACGCTGCAGGAAAACTGAACACACATAACGCCACATTATTACATGATAATCTGATATCTGTATTTTAATATTTTTTGTCGTACCAATAACTCTGCCTGTATAAACATAGTAGGAAACAAATATATAAATCATTGGAAAGGTATTATCAAGGAGTAAAGTGGCACAAAAAAAATGTACACTTTAATATAAAATACGAAAACAAATATAGCAATCTGTCCAGTACTCCAGCAAGATAAAATACATTTTCCTGGTCTAAGTCGGATAAAACGAAATACAAAAAGCTCATTATCCTAACCAATTTACATAATAAAAAAACATTTGTTTTTTCTCATATAAAACGTTCATACGAATAAATTAAGGAGAAAAAGCACAAATGCCGATACCGAATTGTGTGCTCTGTAAGAAGTGCAATATTTTTTAGAGTGTTGATTTTACAATTAAAATGGTTTTTCAGGTCGAATTTTGATCAATGGACTATATTTTACAGAAGAATAGAAAGATATTATCATGTTATTAAAATTAATACCTGACTGCAGCACCCGTGGACAGTCTAGTTGACGGCGTCAATTCCAGGGGATAATATGTTTTTATGTGGCGAACCGTTTCTACGTTTCTAGGTATTATATATAGAGCCTTGGCCCTCGGTGTGTATTATTATAAACACCTAAAATACATTATTGCTATTTTATTTTTACTTATCTATACACTGCGCTGTCCGTTGGGCATGACAGTACCTATAATACATATATAGTATATTATTTATTTAATTATTATATTATTAAATTGTGTATTTTAGTATTTTAGTAGTATGTATTCTAGAATCAAGATACAACTATACAAGATATTATTCATATTATATGTTACATGTTACAAAGATTCCTGATACTCCATATTTTATACTTCAAATTGGATTTTATAAACTATTATAAATGTATACATCTATATGTATAATGTTGTCAACTTTTCAAAATCATATTATTAAAACATACTTATTCACTTAGGTATTAAGTCATAAATATAATATGCAATACGTCAATACACATAATATAACATTACCTATATCACTATTAATAAATACATCATACATGACATAAACTCATAACTCACTATTTGGAGGTAGTTAGGTAATAGGTACTTATATTATTCATATGTTATATGGTAAAAATGAAAATGGAAATGAAATTTGTTATATTTTGTTTTTAAATTAAATATTATTTTATTAATAAAACCTTGATTACCTTTAAGATAAATTGATTTTCAAACATTTTGTCTGATAAATTATATGTACTAGGTATATTTAGGGCATTTAGGCTGTATATAATACATTACATTAAACATCAGCTGTATTACTAAACTTAGTAATAACAAATACAAAGGAAGAAAATGATATTTTTAAAAGGAGACTTTTTTGTCCGTGACAACCTGAAAATTAAATAATTATTTAACAGTCTGTTTTTTTTCTGTGTTACTGATTTAAATCTGCAGAATTAAACAAAACAATTTAATCTGTGTATTTTAAGAACAACATTTTATGCATGTAGGGGTAAAAGTAACCTATGGACCACTCCATGCAAAGTTCTCTACCCGCTTGTACAAAAACGGTAAAGCCGAATATCCTGACCACACAGATGCTCCAATTTTATTTATTTGTATAAATTATGCAATATACATATTATTATATTATATATTTGTGTATTATATTTATATTGTATATTGTATAGTGTATACAATATACATATTATATTACATTAAATTATATATTATATATCAGTATATCACAGTAGGTATATTATGTAGTAGCAATGTATAAAGTATAATGTATAATTTATTATAATATATTAATTTGTAGATTGTAAAGGAGAAAAAGGACGGAAAGAATAAGTCGAATAAAGGACAGGTGAAGAAAAATCTGGAACGCACCGGGTGAAGAGAAATAATAATGGCGGCAGTAATGTAAAAAAAAAGAGAGAAATAAAAGTTCTAACGGTGCGATAATAATAGTGAGTACATATATTAAATATATTATGTATATATATATACGTATCCGAGCTTTGTGTGGTGGTAGGGGGTGTGTATTTTGGGGTGGGTAGGATGGTTTGTGGGTAGAGGGAAGTATAAATAATAAATATAAACGGATGATGGTAGGGACGAAAAAAACCAACGATTATGATTATTAGCCGCGTGAGTTGGGGTGTGTGTTATAGGAGAGGAGGATAGAAAAAGCGAGGAGAACACGTCAAAAACATAAGGAGAGGGGTCCATTTCGGAAGTATATATATTATAATGTGCACGCAAAACAACGACAATATTGTTGCTGGCGCTTTGCCGATGAAGGTTTATTATTATTTTTATTATTATTATTATTATTGTCATTATAAATTATAATAATCCTTTATGCGGGCTTTATGTATTTATATTTTCATAAAGGTTTAATATTAATAATGAAAAAGTCGTTGGATTAAAATATTAAAATTAAATCGAACAACATTTGAGGTTAACCAGCAATTACATAACCTCTACCGATGAAATAAAATAAAATTAAAAATTATAATTATAATTAAAATTATAAATCTACTTGCTTTCATGAAAACTTGCAGTTTCTAACAATACCTTTAAGACCAGTAAAACAACTTAAATCTTCAACTTTGAGGTTTCTAGTAGCAAATTGGAAGCATAGATGGTACTCTGGTAAGTAAAAAGTAAAAAGTTTCCAATACTTTTCTAAATAATCGGAAGAAACTTATTGTGATTATTACTATCGTATGGTGGTATTTTAATAAGCATTATAACTCAAGGTTTACAACAAATAAACTTAAATAAAACATAATAAAATTAGTCAAAAATAAAAACATAATGTGGTAATTTGGTAATATGGTAGCTTCTAAATCTAGAAAGTATGTTAACTTTTCTATACGAAAATGTCTAGTGATCTAAGCCAGGTTAAAACTGCATTTGAGACTTTGTGGATTGCATTGACTGGTCTGTTGAAACCATGGATCGGGCAATAATTTATTACCTGTTCCATTGTTTGAGATGATACCCATTTTTATAGCATTTTTCCACATCTCCCGGGTCTGGTTCGAATTTTTTTTAAGATGATCCATTTTCGTTTTGTAAAGCTGGGTACTTGGGGGTATGGATCCTTGACTAGCTGTTGTGTATCGGGCTTTGATCGACTCCAGTGTAATCTACAGTCCTAATCTTCATTGAACTGGTTTTTAGCTAAATCCTTGGTTGTTAGTCAAGCAGGCTTCAATTTAAAGTATGAGTGATATTCACAGCAAAGCAGCAATGTATTGATTTTACAGAAATATAGTTATTTTTTCGTATGAGTAAAATATGGTGTCCCTTTAATATAATTTATTATTATTATTTAATACACTTTGGAGGTAATGACTAATATTTATGATATTTTTTTAACATGTAATCAAAAATATAATCTTAATATACGTATAGTACGGGTAAATTTCGTACTGGAATTGATTTTGGTTATTCAAATGATAGGTCATTTTAAAAATAATCACTCCATAAGGCTAAAGTGTAAATACTTCTATTATTATAATTCAATTTTAGACCAAATTAGATATTAAAACCGAAAATAATTATTTTAGTTATTGTGTTGTAGATAATTTAATAATATTATTCATGGGCACTTAAAACTTTTAAAATATATTGTTATATTTTATAGAGACAATGATATTTTCGGAACAATTGAATTCGGCCTACTGTATTACTAATAGATGGTAAAAAATTACTTTAATTGCAATAATATCATAAAACAAGTGTGGAAAGCTCAATGTGGTTGCTAAATTCCCAGGTTTTAAACTTATTTT